AACTGTGTACACCCAGAGGTGCCAAATATATCAAAACGCACAAAACTTGTAAGTAAACAGTCTGTAAGTGCAGGATAACAGTTTTTGGCGGCTTCCAGCTCTCGAAAACAAAGTCAAATTGTGTCAAAGTTTAACAATATCTGTGAGCTGGTGAGCTATTTATGCAGTGAGTGATTTCTACCTTCTCATGGTTGGACGGTTAATTTGATTATTTTTAGAGGTCAGAAGAGGTCAAAGTGTAAAAAAAAAAAAAGCAAATATGTGCAATGTAAAGGTTTTGTGTTGTAGAATAATGTTTATAAGTAATTCAATTGATATAAGTTTTAAAATCTGACAAAACTTAAAGAGTTAAATAGACTGCAGCTGTACTTATTACTGTAAACCAATCATATTTAGCACCTTTAGCCTTTTCCATGTAAGTGTATCATTGTGTATTTTCTGCTGTTTATTAGGTTGCTATCTTATCTGACATTGCTGCTTATCTTCACTTTGTTATGAAACACAATTATCTTTATTTCTCTTACTTAAAAAAACAACTAAATTAAAATAAAGTTCTTATTTTTTACTGTCATATCAGTGAGTTAAAGCATTTCTACTTCATACCAAGTTTCCTCAGTGGTCCGTGATGACATCTGGCTTTATTCGTCCTGTCATTTCTCTACAGGAGCTTATTTATGTAGGCTGACGGCGTTTACAGTGCCCTGATAAACAGTGTATGGCAGCGCTGTAATACTCCTATAGGGATTATCATGTGTCTGTGGTCCTCAGCAGTGAGTCATAATGATCCTACACAGATCTTACTCAGGCCTATGCCATTAGCACGGTTACATTCTCGATGATGTTTACGAGGAAATGTCATTTTTTAAATTTGTTTTCATTGTGGCTCATTGCTCGGCTAAACCAGTAAAAGCTTTAACTGTAGCCTAATGAAATGACAATGAATGCGGTTAGCTCCAATAAACTGTGGTCTCCTAATAATACAGCAGATCAAACTTAATAAAGTTCAGCAACAATGTGATGAATGGAGCCGACGCGGTATGAAAATTCCATATTTCTGTTTTCGTCGGGTTAAAAGTTCAAAATCCGAACCGCAGTAAGCGAAGCAAATGCAAATGTTGATCAGTGAAACTGGCGAGTCATTCACACTAAGCAAACAACTTCAGCTTTTTTTTTTAGGCAAAAAGAAGAAATGAACAGGAGCGGCTGATGACTTTTCCGAGTCAACCTAAAGCTCTGCTTTGACAATCACAAGACAATTCATGTTCTGTAGTTCTCCTCTGGTGTGACTGGGCTGTCAGATCGGCCCAGTTCGGAATATGAGGCATATGATGTGTTGATCCTCAGAACAAAAGCTTATTGTTGCCCCGATTATCCATTTACAGCCTGAGGCCATACTGGTCTCAAGCATGTCTCAGTCAGCCCACCAGCCAGCGTGTCGAAAGTTCATATCTAAAGTTGTGTTCTGGTACTTTGCAGTTTCTTTCACTTTGTTTCCTGAACACAGAAAGTTGAAGGTGTTGTTTGCAGATGGCAACAAATGTAAGCTCAAATAATTAGAATAACACCAGGTTAGGAGCATTTGAGGGCTTCAACCCGCTGTGCCCTCATTAGTTCCTGTAAGCACACTTCATGCCATGTGAAAATGAGGCTATATAAGGTGATTGGGACACAGCCATGTCCATTGTTATGCTTGGCAGAAACAGCGGGGTCTAGTTGTGGTTGGTGTTTGTGCGCTGGAGGAAGCTAAACAGAGAAGTCTGTCAGAGCCGCTCTGAAACCATGTGAAGAGCGACTGATGGAACACTTGACCTAAAGCCGTTCTCGATTTGAACTGTCACACACTCTTATGACACAGCTCGAGGCATGCCATCATGGGTGTTAGGCTGCACAGTAAACACATTCACTGGGCCATGCGTTACTGAAGCGCAAAACATTTCATGAGCCAAAAATTTATTAAATAACTTTACAAAAAATGTGGATGTTTGTCACTTCAGGGGGCTAAGCAATCCCTTTTTTTCCACCCTCTCCTGCCCCACTACTTCCACAGAAAAACAACATTATACACACTGTTGTTGACAAGTTCTCTTATTTTGGTCACTTAACCCACCATGACTTGTTGTATATCATCTTCATTTCTGCTGTATATATATATTTACAAGACATTGTGTTCGCACACAACGTGATCTGAACAATCTTAACCGTGGTACCATGGTTTGCCTTTGGAGCCCAACTTGGGGTTATTTTGGCACAAATGACTGCCTTGCATCACACAGTCATGATGCACATCAGTCATGTATCACTCTTTCCGCGCAACATTCACCTTTTCCATCATTGTAAACAAATGAGTTTCAAGACAAGATGCCCCTCGAAATTTGCAGATTACAAACGACATGAAATACAGTAAAAATATACGAGACTTTGATGCCATTGGTCCCTTCGTGACTCACGCCTGACCTTCATGTTCAGACTGACTTCATGCATCACTTCTGAGATGTTGCAACCACGTGGTTCTCTGCGTTATACATGACTAACATTTTTAAAGGATTGCACATTTAGACCTTGAGGCCACACACGGTGGCTTAAAGATCACACAGACGTTATACAGATTCTCATTGGATTGTATCATATCGGACACTGAACCAATAAGATTTTATGAGTTGGTGTCAAAAGGGTATTTTTGACGAGAGCTGAGAGACAGAGCAGTCCTACAGGAGATGCCAAGGATGCGTGTGGTTCTGCAACACCACGCCAAGCCGGAGCTACAGTATGAAGCGTCCACATCATACACTACATGTATCACGCAAGCTACATGTCCACAAACACCATGAAGCACCAGCCGAGTCCCCCCACCAGGAACATGGTGATCTGCATGCTGTATATGATCAGGTCATTAAGCACGCCAAAGTCCAGGCGCCGGTGGCCCAACAGAAGCAGAATGACAGACAGCTTGTACTGCAGCCGCAGGAGGACTCGCACGCTGATGTACTGCAGGAAGAAGAGAGCAGAGAGCGACACCCACAGCAGAGAGGTCAGCAGACTGCAGCCAAAGTAGAGGAGGAAGCGGAGGAAGCTGTACATGCAGCGCGAGCGCAGGTAGAGGTCAAAGTTGTTGTACTTGGTGCGCACTAGCTTGGAGGTGTGCGTCGACCCGCAGGCCGAGTGCATGCAGGTGGTGTGGGGGCCATGGAAGCTGCGCACCCGCCGTGGGATGGGGATCACAGGCATGGGTGGGCTACTGGAGCCCAGCACGGTGCACAGGAGTCCAGGTTACAGGTGGGGTCCTCTGTGAGAGCTGCTACTGGGGAGGCACTCAGCTTCATCTGGTTCAAGAGCTCAGACTGGCTCTTAGAGGAGGAGCCAGGGAGGGAGAGGAGGAGGCTGCTGATGTCCGTCTGCTGGGATTTCCAGGAAATAGAAGGTTCTGTGAAGAGAGTGGATTGTTAGGATGTATGGTTTTACACAGTTTAAACATGCACAAAGATCAGGGTTGTATTCTGTAATGTTAGAATAAAGTCTAATCCATTGAGACTAAGAGCACTCATCCCTTAACCCCATCTGTGAAAACACTAATGTCAGACACGCATATAAGATAGAAGGACATTTAACCGTGTATTTAGGAATACTGCCTGCAAATATAAGCACAACACTGTCTTTTATTCCTACTTCTATCACACTACTCAACAATCAACATCTAATTCAGACTTCCTGACGACTCCGGCCTATGTGTTTGATCTACCGGCATTATTTATCCGTTTCTATACAATGTGCAATACGGTGCTCCTACAAGAACAATATGTACGTATACGTTTTACACAGCATGTATGCATTTTGTATGCATTGTTTGCTATGTTACCATGTCGTCTGTAGGGTTACAAAGCTGCAGAAATTGCACTCATGCTCAAAATCTAATTCCCCTGTGTGCACAAAACAGAATATCTAATCTTATCTGATCCTATCATGTGCACACACTGTTGTAATACAAGAAGTGCAGGCCTGTGCAAACAACAGCTACACTTACACCTAAACAGCTCATGCACGAACCTACCACCGATTCATTGTGACTGACTAAAAGGCAGCTAGCACACCTTTGATCCATGCAAATCCTGCTCCAGACACAAGTGTGATCGTGCACAAGCTTACATGCACCACTCCGCCGTGTTCCTCCACAACAAAAGGAGACTACCGCTGTTTGACTCACAGGCGTCTGGATGATTGCATTACATCATTGACGACTTGAACATACGAGGTGTGTTTTTCGTTGTTTTGTTTTGTTTTGATCCCCCCCAGCGATGAACGAGCTTGTAGCCACAGCGGAAGATGATGAGGGAGCGACGGCGAGCCGGTGCTTGAACGTCCTGTCGCAAAATATACGAGTCATCCTGCTGTGACGACAGCTGCACAGTTAAAGGGGAAGAGCTCCTCAGGAAGGCGATGCGGCTCCGAGCACCAGTTCACACTTCTTACTGGTGAGTTGCGTAATGAAGCCTTGAAGCGAGAACAAGCTCAGCTAATGTTACGTAGGGGTTTAACAGTAGTGTAAACCAGGGGAATATACAATACAACTATAGTTTTCTGTACATTTTTAAAAATACATATATTTAAATAACAATATAGTATGTAGCGTAGAATGTAATTAAATGACAGCAGACTACAACTTTTTATTTATTTATTTATTTTTAATAGGAAAGTAACGAGGCTTTACCCGACTGATACAAACGTGGTACTTAAGCGCATATTTGATATTTTTAAAATGCATTTTAATTATTAATTTAGAACTAATGGGACTTTACTATACCATTATAATAATAGTCATTTAAATTCCTGTCGTTATAATAATCACAATAATGATGTTAAGCAGGAACGTTTAGCTTAGCTTAGCAAAGAATTTAAACTAGCTAGCTAGCTAGTGCCGCAGCAAGCTAACGTAGCATAACGTTACGAGCCTGGCCCAAAGTCAGCTAGTTAGCCGTTTATACAGGTAATACTAAAAATACACGTTTTAACTGCTGTTAAAGTGTAGTAAGGTCACTATTATCAAAGAAAAGACCCCAGGAGGGGGAATATAGTGGGGGGACCGTCTTATCTCTGGGGGCATCTTAGCCTTATTTAGCCTCCTTATGTGCATTATTTGATTGAAAACCAGCTTCATAATTGACAGTTCATTTATAACTCATGGGCCCAAGACTGAACTTATAACTTTACTATACCATTAAAATAGTAGACATTTAAATTCCTGACTCAATAATAATCCTAATAATGATACTAAGCAGGAATGTTTAGCCTACCATTGTAAAGAACTCAAGCCAATATAGCATAACATTATTAGCTTAGCCTAAAGTCAGCTAATCGGTTGTTTATAATAATAATAATAGTGATAATAATAATAAACTTTTACTGCTGGTTAGCTATTATGTTACAGTGCTACTGACTCTCATGCTAACAGTAAATTAAAGTTTGTATATGTGTATTCTTATGAAAACAACAAAAGCTTTTTTTTTTTTTTTTTTAGGCTACTGTCAGTATATTACACCATATCAAAACCACTTTTTTTGATTTTCTCAGACCAGTATAATGATTTCAATACTATTTAAAGATGAATAAGGTCACTATCATCAAAGAAAAGACCTGAAATACAGATATCTAAGGGAAGGAATGGAAATATAATGGGGGCGGTTGTTGTTTTGTTGTCTGAACTAATGGATAATCCCTCCATATGACCACTTCTTGTTTCAAAACACTCCGGGAAAAAGATTTTCCATCTATCGTGCAAACTGAAGGTAAGGCTAGTTTCACAACCGTTTGGCCTTTAGACCATGTTTCTACAGCTCTAATGACATTTAAAAAAGCAACATGCAGTGCGTGATTATCCTCACAGTGTGTCACAAGATTTGTGAATGCATGCCTTGCAGTGTAGAAGAAATATGACTTCAAATACACAAGTTTTAAATAAAGATTACGTATAAAAATGTTTCTGGCAAAATCAGATTAAAACAGCATTTAAAGGTCATCAGACAGAAGCACTGACTTCATGTTGAAATTAAAATTGTTATGATTATTGCTGAATCAATGTCAGATTTTTAACCTTAACTAACACTGAATCAGGTTCAAAGTGAGCCAAAACAACATTTTAACTGAAAAAATATATATAGAAATGATGTCAAACAATACTGAATCAACTATTATATAAAAGACCTACCATCATTTCAAATTACCAAGATAAAACCTTTTCAGAAACTTTGCTTTAAGTGTCTTTGCCAGGAGTTTTCTGCTAAAATATATCTGAACATCCAAACAAATTTAAAATTAATAAAT